TGATCCAATTATTCAAATAAGGTAAATGGCTTCACTTAGAACACTTATCGAAAATTATAACATCAATTACGAATTGATAATCAATTGAATTAGATGAACATCTTGCTGAACCGCTTTCAAACTGAATTCAGGAAACTGCGATACTCAAACACTGTCTCATTTGTTCGTTTCGTTTTCATTTATCAAGCAGTAACAGAGTATTGCGCAATCAAATTAAAAAATTCCAGAACACACCAACCCCGTCATAAAATCCTTTCAGATAAACTTCTTTTTTCGCCTCTTCCAATTTATCGCGTTCATTTTGACTTTCCACTTTCAGCTTTTCACACATAAAAACGGCCGCTAAGTTTCCATACTCGGGAATTTGAATTATTGGAATCTGAAATTATGGATGAGTAATTTTAAAAAATGAAAGATCAACAATGGTAATAGAAACACACCGGCTCAAAGGGTATCACCATCTCATCTTTGATGCCATACTTTTCACGGAATGCCTTCTTTCTCTTCAGATCGCATAATGCCGCATAATCATCAGGCGCATCTGACGGCACACTAGTCACTACACCAGTGCCTGAAATATTACATTAAATTAATACTTCATATGACATAATTACATTCAATACCAACTAACTTCAAATCAGTTACTCATGCTCATCGACTGCTTTCAGAATCAAATTCATCCGATGAAAGTACCACGATTAAATTGCATCAAAACGATCATAAAATCAAGTTTCCAATCGCCAGATTCTCAATGAATGTTGTCATCCTTTCTATCCTCCTCAATCCATCAACATACCCTTATCATCTTTAACCGTTAACATCGGCAACGCATAAATTCTCTCGTACTTTGTCATCGGACCTTTCAGCGCAGCACCGAGCAACTCACTGCCAGCTACCTATAAAATCACGTACATATACAATTCATATCACTACTTCATCCCAACGCACCCTTTCCAATCCATCAACGTAATGCACCACTCCATTCTCAGCAGTCATTCCTTGATAACTCATATTCCGAGCCGCTCTTGCAGTGGCCACGAACACCTCACTCTCGTCCGGATTCGCATAGAAAACTGAGTACTTGATATCCGGATGAAGATAGCAATTCGTCTGACCGTACATCGTTTCCGGTCTTAACGTTGCGGCCACCAGATATATTGGCTTGGTGATGTTAGCCAGAACCTTTGGTTTCGGATCCAAAACCTTCAAAGAATTTGACAATACTGGCTCGTTATTACAGCTGTATAGAATGATTATTCCGGATTATAATTTCAAAATATACGTTTGATTTCCGTGCAGTTTAAAATGGTACTACCTTCAAACATTCCATAACATTGACGTAATAATAACGATAAACAGAGTGATATTGAATACTTTAATGATCATTGATTCAATGGGTGATTAATTTCATCAAAATAAAATGAGGTTATAAACCTTGAGTTTGATAAGAGTGTACTCCTGAGGTGCTACGCCCTCGCCACTCGATCTGTCGTGATCCATACACGGTTGACCATCTTTCGGTGAGTATATCGTGTACCTCTTACCAAAATCTATTTTCTTCGCTTCACGTAACTTGCGAAATTGCCAACACACAAACGAATCATAATAAGGATTAACATCGGTTGTTATGAAAGTACGACGCCAATCGATCTGAAACTTTTCTATGATTCCACTATCTTCGTTATCATAACCATGGCCGGTTCTATTGCTATCGTCATCGGTAAAGTCACTGTTACAATTGGAATATCATTACATAAATCTCGAATTTAAAACTTTATCCTTAAAGTAACAATGGACTGTTG